GACCCAGATTTGCTTGCGAACCTTCGGTTCGCCGACGACGCGCTGCTATTCCCGCGGGGCAAGGACGACGCACGGGGAACGCTGGCAGATCTGAAAAAAAGAAGGCTTCGAAGCACGGTTTAGCAGTGCACCTGGGCAAAATGCTCACACACTGCGAGCCCACAGGGGGGGGGGGGGGCCCTGTCAAAGTGGGCGAGGCCGACGTTTTTCTGCCGCCAGACGCCGCCGATACATGTTTGGGCAGATTTGCTTCCCTAGAGCATTTTCACGCAGCCGAGCTCACGAACAGAATGAAGCAGCTTGGCGCGCGCCCGCCCAATACAGGAGCGCATTGCGCTTAAAGAAGTACCCCTTGGCATCCAGGCTGAGCTGTTCGACTCTGTTGTCACGCAGTCACTTGTTGTACACGCGTGCCCCCCCTGGGTACTCAGAGTTGCAGACGCACAGAGGGCCTGGACGACGCGGCGAAAAATGACGCGCAAGATCTTCCACGCACCTCGGAAAAAATCACAATCACGAGCGCAGTGCGTTCGAGGGTTCACGCGATCGGTCTGCTTGCGCGCTGCTCGGTTCGGGGCCGCGGACTGGCTCCTAACGAAGACGCAGAGAAAACAGCGGACCTTCAATAATTTACACGATATCAGCAACTGGAGAAGCAGACTATCGTCGTGGAAGCCATGGTTTCGCACCGAGGCTCGCCGCCGACAAGGGCGACCGGTTTTGCGATGCTGAAACGTTTCAAAGTAAATTATCGCCGAGAACACCGGCGGGGCCACGCCTGGAAAATGGGGAATCGGCGAGGCGACATTGCCATCATTCTCTACATTGCTGCAGCGGTGCGTTTCTTCAGGCCCGCACGGGCGCTCCGCGCCCCCGAGGGGTCGGCTCTCGCAGCTGGGCGACGGGCCTCTGCCCTCTGCAACCAGTTGTCGCGCCAAAGGCGCTCAACCTCGCGCAGAGCGCGTTTTGCCCAAGCCGCGCATTCGCAAAAGTCGGGCTCAGGCCGCTGCCCCCGCCCTGGCAGGGCGAACCGGGGCGGCGCGAAGCGGAACGCGAGACAGGGACTGAAGCAGTTGCGGATTGCATTTCCCAGGGCCGCGCGCCGCCGGGCGCCTCGCCTTCCTCCCCAGAGGAGTCGGCCCAGTCACCCTGGCGCCGATCCCGCCCAGGGCCCTTACGCTGTTCTTCCGGGTCGGCCAGTAAGCCCGCGACCCTCCGACGCCTCGCGCCCGCCCGACCTGAGACGCACGAGATGCTGTTTCTCTTCGCCGCGAACAGTCGCATCAGCAGGCCCTGGTTGCACGGGCGCAACACTCCCACCAGCGCGGCTCGAGGCCGGGCCATCACCAGGGCGGCAAAAGAAAAGAATCTGACGGGTTGGGAAGCTTGCCAACGACGTCGTTCGCACGGGCACCAGGGCTTAGAACGGGGGAAGGATGTGGGAAGCAGACAAATCGACTTGGAGAGCCAGCGGATCTTTTTCGTCACCGTTGTCTGGTTCCGGGGCATCCGCTCTGGGGTCCCTAGGTGCTTCGCCAAAGACGCCCGCATCCTGCGCCAGGGTCGTTCGGACGTCGACCGGGCTACCAGGGCGGCAAAAAAAAACGAAACGTCGGGAGTGGTAAGCAGGGCCATGACATCAACGCCAGGGCGGCAAAAAGCCGAGATATCGGGGATGATGCCATCAATGCCAAGGCGGCAAAATAACCCAGACATCGCATGTGTCGAATCGTGTGCATGCGGACAAGGCCAGGGCGGCACGAAGCCGAATCGGCCTTTCCGGGGCACGCCCGGACCAAGATTTCAAGGCGAGTCCAACCGCGGTGACAGGGGAAGCGCCCACCTCCTCCAGGATCCCGTCCTCCAGCCCGTTCTCGCGGTCAACTTCGTCTAGTGCTCGTGATGGCGCGGATGGTGGCGTTGGTGATCCGCCTTGCGTTGGGGATAATGTTGGCGCTGGTGTTCCCGGCTGTGCTGGCACAGGAGCTGGCGTCGGAGATCCGCGCTGTGCTGACGCAGATGTTGCCGTCGGTGCCCCCGAGTGCGCTGGCGAGGATGCTGGCGCGCACGGGCCTGATCCCAGTATGGTACCCGATCGCCTCGAGTTCCAGTTTCGCCCCCCGCATCGCGATGGCGACGATGCTGGCGCCGGCGTTCCCGGCAGTGCCGCGGCCGGAACGCGCACCTTGAGCGTCGGTGTTCCGCGCTGTGTTGGCGAGATCGTCGTTCTCGCTCGTGCTGACTGTTGAATTGCAGCTGATCGTTACAGGCTCCTACTTCCAGGACGTTGGTCGGGGGGGCTGTCGGATACGGCGTCGGCAACGGCATCAGAAGCGGCATCGGAGACGGCGTCCGATGCGGCGCAGGGCACGGCGTCGGGTGGAGAATCGGGTAGGGTGTCGGGGCCGACCTCCGTCGCCACGCCCACGTCCTTCTTCACGACCTCCTGCACCCCGCCCGACACCTCCCCCACGACCTCTTGCACCTCCAGCTCGTCCGCCGTCCCTTGCCGTCCTTGCCCTCGTTCTCCTGCGGCGGCCTGCTGGGCGCCATGCCACCTGGCGGCGGCGCCGTACCACGGCCTCCAGAGGCTGCTGCGGCGCCCTAGGCCTCCTCCGACGCGGGCGGCGGCAGCGGCCCAGGCAGCAGGCCAGGCGGCACCACCAGCGGCAGCAGAGGCCGCCGCGGCGACGGCCCATGCCGCCTCGCGGGGAGCAGCGGCGGAGCCGCAGCCCGCCGACGCCGCCGCCGCAGGCGCGGCACCGAACGCGCCAGCAGCAGCAGCAGCACCACCAGCACCAGCACCAGCACCAGCACCAGCAGCAGCACCAGCACCAGCAGCAGCAGCAGCAGCAGCACCAGCACCAGCAGCAGCACCAGCAGCACCAGCAGCAGCAGCAGCAGCAGCAGCAGCAGCAGCGGGGCAGCAGCCCTCCGCCGCGCCCGGAGAGGGGCACCCGACCGCCAGCGGCGCTGGGCCGCGGTCGGCTCGGGGCTGGGCGCCGCCGACGCGGCGCCAGCGCCAGCAGCGCCAGCGCCAGGCAGCAGCAGCGCGCCGCCAGCGCCAGCCGCCGCCAGGAGGCTGGCGGCGGCAGCGGCGGCAGAGCCAGCGCCCAGGCGCGGGAGGCGGGGGCTGGGAAAGAGGAGGCCCTCTCCCAGCCCCCGCCGGGAAGCAGCAGGAACTCGGGGCCGACCTCTTGCCCCGCGGCAGCGGCCGCTGCGGCCCGCTCGAGCCAGAGCAGCCTGAGCCAGAGGGGATACGGCACGGTCCCCATGTCGGTACACCCCTCACACATTTCGTGGCCCCCCTCCTTCGTTCCACCTGCCTCGCGGCATTCGCAGCTGCATATGGCCGGGCCCTTCGCCAGGATATTTCCCCAGGGAGGTGCAGGAGCCTCGGGAGAGAGGGGTGGTGCACGCAACGGAGTGCGGGGAAGGGGGGGATCCGTTGGAGGATTTACAGACGCCCTACCAGGCAGCCCTGGCACTCTACTGCGCCCTTCACTTGCCAGGGGGCCCGGCGGCGGATCCCCCACCTCCTTGCGGTCTGGGCGGGGCGGGGCGGGGAGGGGGGAACGGCGGGACCCGGCCGGGGGGCGCCCGTGCGAGGGCGTAGTAACCCAGACTCCGACGTGGTGATTTGTTCATCACCGCCAGACGTCTCGACCCGTCATTTCGGGGACTGGCTTTTCATCCCGAGCCGTTCGTTGACGGTCTTGGGGCCTGGCGAGGGCCCAGAGGCCGAAGACAGCCCAAAGCCTTCCGTCGTGATGTGTGTCATGACGCGAGGAGGTGCGAGGAGGGAAGCCCACTGAGGCCTGGTCAGTGGGGGGCGGGGGCCACGGCGTCGGATGCTGAGTTGCATGCGATAGGGGGGGCATCGTTCCCACCCTCCCGTTCCCAACCCCTCCTCCTCCTCCTCCTCCTCCTCCTCCTGTGTTGCAGCCCAATCGTATCCCATCCTACGCCTCCCCATCTCTTCCTGCTGTTCCTATTGTCCACCTCACGCCTGCTGCTCGCACGAAGGGCCGAGGTAAGAAGGGTCGTGGCAAGAGTAGTGGTAGTGATGAGTTACCTGTCAGCGCGAGAGGTAGAGGACTCGTCAGTGGCACAGCCAGCTGGCGAGGGCGGGGCGTTGGCCCCACCGATAGAGGGACTGGGGGCGGGGAGGCTGGGGAAACGGAGAATGCTGCACAGTGAGCGCTGGTCCCCAAGGGGTACCCGCCAAGGCTGCGCGCCTAAACGGCGGATCGCCCTGGAGGGGCAGCGCGAGCTTCGCTCGAGAGGCCATCTGGGCTCTGTAGCGGTTCATGTCGGGAATGACTGTCGCGAAGACGACGCTCAGAAGTCTCGTAGTGGCACGGCTGGTGTTATGGAGTAGATTTCCAGGAGCTACTTGACCTGACCTGACCTCCTCCTACTCCCCGGCTCCACTGCTGCTCCTCATCCTGCTCCTCCTACGTTTCCGTTTCCTCACCCCTCCTCATTCTCAGAGGTCATCAGGCCACCGCGACGACGGTCAGATTGGAGAGGCAATCGCATCTACTTCGAGGCATTCCTCTTCGTTCTTATTCGCCGCCCTCCTCCACACACAGGGCGTTCCAAAAAGCGTGTCGCATTCGAGAATTTGACGGGCTGGTCGCCCACCCTCGGCGGACTGCAGGCGAAAGGAAGACGAGGGCCGCTCTGCCAGCAGAAGGTTGACAGAAGTTGTTGGACATGGTAAAAGACGAAGGGATCAACGCTGGCGCACTCTGTGGGAAAAACACACACACACACAAAAACACACACACACACACACACAAACACACACACAAACACAAACACACAAACACACGGGGTTCCAGTGTTTTGGGTTTCCAGAGTCGGTTGCATGTTGTGTTCGTGTTTTTTGGGTTTCCAGAGTCGGTTGCGTGTTGGTCCACCAGTTCCAGTCAGAACAGGAGGAAGGGGTCCAGGTCAAGTCGTTCGTGGCGCTGGACGACCTGGATTTTATTCGAATGGCTCAGCGCAGTGGTCCGCCGAGGTGACCCACCAAGGCTCTGCTATGCCCTGGCGCCGACAGAGCCACCCCGTGGAGTGGCGAGAGGGAGCGCGCGAAGCGGGTGCGCCACAGCGCCGAGGGCGAGGCACGCGGAGACGCGGCGTGGCCGCCCTGGTTCGGTGTAGGCCGCGGCCCCTCCGGGGTGGCGGGCGCCTCTGGGTCCGCCCGCCGAGCCGCCACGAGGCCCGGGTCAGCCGCGCGACGCCGACCGTGCAAGAGCAGCGAGTCGGGAGAGCGGGCTGTTCAGAGGCCCGCTCCTCCTCCTCCTCCTCCTCCTCCTCCTCCTCCTCCTCCTCCTCCTCCTCCTCCTCCTCCTCCTCCTCCTCCTCCTCCTGTCTGCGCAGCTGTGGGGCGTCGCACGTGGACCATGACTCCCACGGGGAGGGCGTGAGCCGGGCGAGGCCAGGACCGGGACAAGTCGCTCCAGAGCGCTCTGGGAGCGTTCTGGAGCGCCGTGCAACGGCCTCGGCGCCCTCGGGAGCGGCGCCGAGCGCCAGCAGGGGGCCCGCCCGCGGAGGCCGCGGCGAGGGGCAGTGCCGAGGCCTCAGCTCCGCCGGCGACGAGGCCGACGACGACGGCCTCGACGACGACAGGGCGACAGCGCACAACGGCGACGACGACGAGGAGGAGGACGACGACGACGACGACGACGACGACGACGACGACGGCCTCGGAGCCGCGGGAGATCAGAGATTCCCGATGTATCCCAGTCCGGTGTTGTCCGTCCTGGTGGGCGGCGCGCAGCCGCCGCGGTGGGGCTGCACAGCCGCCTCAGAAGCGGGGTGAAGTCGCGCAGGTGCACGGGCTACAGTCAAGAGGTTGGCATGAGGCCAATTTTGGGCGCAGGAGGGGCTCTGGTTTTCGAGCGGGTCTTTACACTTCGGTCGTGGAGCCTATTCGTGGCCGAGGCTCGCCGTGGCCAGAGACGGCACGAGGACTGCAAGGTCCGGCAGTTGCGCGAAAGCGGGATTTCTCCCGGCGGGCCCGCCCAGGGCCTGACTGCTCGTGCCACCCGCGAGGAGCGGAGCCGGCCAGACCGCGGCACCAGCTCGCAAGTCGGCCAGCTCGCACACTTGCCCCCGGCCGTGGAGGGGACACGACCGCAGGCGGCAACCAGCATGAGCCGCAGTCGGACATTTGGGTCCCCCGTCCGCGTGGCACGGCCGAGGTGGCGTCGCGGCAGCAGGTGCCGCGGCGGCCTCGAGCGCGCGAGGGAAGGCAGGCAGGCGGGTGCCCCCGCTGCGGGAGCGGGGCCGGCGGCTTTGGGCTGACGGGGTGAAATCGCAGGGCACGCCGCTCATGAAGTGCCGCTCTGTCTGTGCGGGCCTCGGGCGGGCAGCGCTGGCTGGGCCGGGCCGTCCGGCGGTGGGGACGGTCAGCGCTGGAGTTGCGGGGACCAAGACTTCCAACGTCTTGAACAAAAAAAGTGCGAAGGCTGTTCGCAGTTTTCGGCGTCTGGGGGCCCTCGCCGGGCAGGCGGGCGGGGAAGTGGTCCAGAGCTCCGGGTACCCCGCATTGAAAAAGTCAAGGCATCGGAGGTCTGGTGACCGTAAGGCTTTTGTTGCTCTTGGGAGGCCTCGGGGGGGGGCCCTCGCCGCCACAGCTGGACGCAACTCGAAACACCAGCTGGGAGGGAAATTCTGGCTGTCGAGGGTTCGCTACGAACGGATTTCGCCCAGGCAATTTACTTATTGGCGACTCGAGAAATTCGCGCGCCTCAGGTCGTTCACCAATTCGGGCGTCTGAAGGCCCGTTTCGGGCCTGGGAGCCGTCAGAAAACATTTCGGATGAAGAGCCAGTCCCCTGCAAGGGGTCGCGAGCTTCAGGTGCCGGTGGCTCAATAGAAAATCCACGGTCGGGAATTTGGGGACAGGGTGCCGCTCCGCCGCTTCTGGCCCTCTGCGCCGTGGTGCGACACGCCATTCACTTCGCGGTCCCGAGGCGGCCACGTGTCGAGCTTCTCCGAGTCTCCCGCCCCACGGAGCGGAGCGACGCGCTATCCGCTTGCAAGGGATCGCGTGCCGCCGGGGCCGCCGCGGCAAAACGCCAGCCAAAAGGTTCCAGGCCGCAGTCGTCGGAGGTCCGGGGCACGGCAGGTCCGCGCCGCCTCGGCGCGCCGGCGGCAACTGTTGGCGCGGGCGCTCGAGCTCGTTCGACAGAGACCAGGGCGGAGGTCGCCTGGAGGCCCAGGAGATTGCACACGGCAGGTTCGTGCCGTGCCGACGCGGCAGCGACCCCGCCGCCGGCGTTCACAGATGAACGCCGCCGGCGACCCAGCATCGGCCCATCGTTGAACGATCCGATCTGGCGTTTCTGAAGCGGCCTATCTCAGGAGGGAAAAAAACACACAGACACAATGAATCGTCGATTCCTCAGAAAATATGGGAAAATATGGGACGTGGGGGGGAAGACAAAAAACCAGAAAATATATGAAAATATACGGTATCTGGTTATTTGTGTGTATTTATTTGTGTCCCAGTTCCCCTTCACGATCGTTCAAGGTTGAACGATCCCCGCGGTGTCAAGAACCCACGCCGGGGTCGACACGACGCGAATTTGCCGCAAATCGGCGTCGTCGAGCCGATCCCCATCCCCACTGGGCCAGGGTAGCTCAGCCCCACCGTCACACCCCCCTTGTTAGGGAGAGGCCCAGAGAAACCCGAGGGGAACAGCATGCATCCTCATCCAGGAGGTGCTTGGCATCGCCCGGACGTGTGCGTTTGTTCCTCGGCGAGGACCATCGAGGAGCATCCTTGATCATTTGGCGAAAAAACCACGCACGAAACCGAAAAAAACACAGGGAATGGACGTCCGAGCGATGGCGAGAGTGGGACCAAGGCCATGCCAGTAGGGATGGGGATCGGCATCAGTGAAACGATGATCAAGGAACTCGTCTTGGTCAGCAGCGAGGGCGGACGCCAACGCGTTCGGCAAGCCGGCGGGCCGCGCTGGAGCTAGGGCACACAAGGCAACCAGGGAAAAGAGGAGGGCGGCCGCGGAGGAGGAGCGCGTGAGGAGGCCTCAGGCGTAGAGCATCTTCGCCACGACGAGTGCGCCCGCGGCCTCATGCACCAGAAATCGGTGCACTGGAAGGTGTGCGGCCAGTGCGTTGCTCAACAAACGCGGCGAGAGCCCACTCCGCGTTCGAAGGCAGCCGAGGGCCCAAGTGGACACAACAGGCGAAGGAAAAGACAGAGAGGAGCACGCTCAGAGCAGGGAGTTCTTGAACGTGTGCGCCGGAGCACGCGCGGCTGCTCACCAAACGTGAGCCGTCGGAGGCCCGCGCGGACTTCTCGAGTCGGCGCTGGGCACCCGAAGCGCGCCAGGGCCTGCCCGGGCGGCGCCGCCGCGGGGTACCGGGGAGGGGGCCCAGTGTCAGCGGAGCAAGCGTCCGAAGGTGTCTGCTCGGTCCGTCTTTCTTGACCCCCTCGGGTCGCAGGGAGCAAGCGGGGCCGCAGGAGCTCGCCTGGGCGGACGAAAACCACCTCGGCAAGGGCTCCGGCCCCTCGCGGCGGCGGTGGGACCCCTTGGGCGCCCTGGGCAGAGGTGCCAGGGAACCCAGCACCGCTCCCAGACCCCCTCGAGCCCGTTTCTTTCTTGCTTGGGGCATGACGGGCGTCATGGCCCCCGCTCCGCCCCCCCCTCCTATGACGTAACTCCCCCCCCCAGTGCGCTCCAGGCACTGCCGCCATGCGCATTGGGATCCGCGTAGGTGTCCGCGTAGGAATCCGCATAGGTATCTGGTCCGCAAGCGTCGTCGTCGTCGTCCGTCGTCGTCGCTCGTGGTTCGTCGCTCGTCGCTTATCGTCGTCGTGCGGGCGGACGCGGCTGGAGCCTGTTTTTAAGTCCGGGCCGATGACGGCAATCATCTGGGGGGGGAGGGGGTCGATGACGTCACGTTTCGCGCCGTCGGCGTCCGGGAATGCTCAGGAATGACGGAGGACGGGTAGCACGAACATGTAGGTGGCGATATGCACCACAACGCCTGTGTACATCACAGTGCCCGCGTGCACCACAGCGCTTGTGTACACCACACCGCCGATGTACACCACAGCAGCCGCGTGCAACACAGCGTCAGTTTGTGCCACCGTGCCTGCGGGCACAGCAGCTCCTGTGTACACCACAGCGCCTCCGTACACCACATCAGCCGTGCGCAACACAGCACCAGTGTACACCACAATGCCTGCGTGCATTGCAGTGCCTGTGTACGCCACGGCGCCTGTGTGCACCACATCAGCCGCGTGCAACACAGCACCATTGTTGTGTATAGAATTTCAGAAGGAAGCCTTGTGACACAATGGAGCGCGTGTGGATTCCAGAGAAAACAATGGAAAACAAATCCTCATGGACAAAGGAGCGCCGCTGGAATCTACGAGTCCCCCCGAGTCCGCCCGCATCAGCCTAACTCCCACTTGCGTCCAGGAGGGTCCAGCTAAATTGGCCGTCCGAGAACCAAGTGGACCGATTCAATCGACCATTCTGCGGTGCACGCTGAGATGCGCACGTGCGTTGTAACGCCAAGCCGCACGACAGGGGGTAAGAAAGAGGAGGAGGAGGAGGAGGAGGAGGAGGAGGTTGAGGAGGAGGGAGGAGGGAAAAACGTCGCATTCGATTATCAGAATTTTCCTGGCGTGGCGTTTAGTTGTCCGCAGCAGATCCTGACGTACATGCTCCTTCTACCTGTCCTATGCACGCAGGCACTGTGGTGTACACCAGCGCTGCGTTGCACGCGGATGCTGTGGTGTAAACAGGCGCTGTGGCGTGCACAGGCGCTGCGGTGCACGCAAGCACTGTGGTGTACACAGGCGTTGTGTTGCACATGGCTGCTGCGGTGTATGTACACCGGCGCTGTAGTGCTCCCAAGTATTGTGGTATACACGGGCGGTGCGTTGCACACGGTTGTTGCGGTGTACGCAGGCGCTGTGGTGCACATGCGCGGTGTGGTGCACGCGAGCGTTGTGGTGCACACAGGCGCAATGGGCAGATCGCCAGTTACATGCTGCTCGCGTCGTCGTCGTCGCTCGTCGCTCATCGCTCGTCGCGTCGTGCGCGCGGGCGCGGCTGTGGTGCCGGAACCACACGGCAGGGGGGGGGGTGGACGTCACGTCATACCCCCCCCGCCCTCCGCCCCCCCATGACGCCCGTCATCGCCGAACATAAAAAAACGCGTTCCTCGGGTCATGAAGAAAGCACGACGGGAGCTTCGGGGCGATTTTCAGCCTTTGGGGGGCCCTCGCCGGGCCCCAGGGCCGTCAAGAAACGGCTCGGGATGAAAAGCCGGTCCCAGGGGATGGGTCGAGGCCTCTAGGGGGATGCGTCACGAAAGAGTCATGAGGTCGGGGGTCTGGGTTGAGGGTTCTTTGGGAGCGGCCCGTCGCAATCGTGCGCGTAGGGCTCAAGACCTCCACTGCTTTCGAGGGTGCCCGCGGGGCGGCTGCAGCAGGGCACGAGTGCTCTACCTGGTGGGGTCGGGCTCCTGAGCTCGCGGGAGCTGGAGAGCTGGACTAGGGGGCACTGTGCGGTACCGCGCGCACGTCAGGAAAGCCAAGGGATGTGGCACGTCGGGCGTTTCGTCTTGCGGGGGCGGTAGACGAACTCGTTTTGGTCAGCAGCGAGGGCGGACGCCAACGCGTTCGGCAAGCCGGCGGGCCGCGCTGGAGCTAGGGCACACAAGGCAACCAGGGAAAAGAGGAGAGTGGCCGCGGAGGAGGAGCGTGGGAAGAGGTCTCGGGCACAGGGGATCGTCGAGAATTGCAGGAAGTGGGTCTTCAAGAGGGCCCCTGGGTCCCCGTGCGTTCGGGGGGAAGCGCGGGCGGGGAGAAGAGCACGGGGCAGCGAGACCGCAGGGATCGGTGAGACGCAGGCGCTTTCTGAGGCCGCCCCCGATGCCCGTGCGGAGAAGCTATTTTGGCCCATTGTTCTGCAGTCCAACCACCAGGGGCTTCCACATGCCACCGCGCGAGTGGTCGCTAGCCGCTGGTCCTGCCGCCTCGCTGCGATGTACGACAGCCAGGCGGAGTGGCGGCGCCTTGGGCGCGGCAGGCGCGACAAGTCCGCCGGCGCCGCAGCCATGCACCACAGTTGCGAGGGTTGGCGGCTTCCTGAGCACCTCAGGCGCGACAAGGCCGGGGCCGTCTCGGCAATGAGCGACAGCTGGGAGGGGTGGCGACCTCGTGGGCACGGCAAACGCGACAAGTCCGTCGGCGTCGCGGCTGTGCACGAGAGGCAGGCGGACTGGGGGCTCGAGCACAGCAGACGCGACAAGTCCGCCGGCGTCTCGGCGAGGGACGACAGCCTGGCGGACTGTGGGCTCTCAGAGCACGGCATGCGCAGTAAGACCGCCGTTGCGGCGAAGCGGCCAGCGGACCGTGCGCGGTGTGCCCTCGTAGCCGCGGCAGCCGCACAGCGGCCTGGCAACAGGCAACAGACCGCCCAGATGCCCCTGTGTCAGATGCACCCAGCAGCCACCACCAGTGAGGACTAACTATGAATCGGCATCGTCTAAGCGATCCCCATCCCAACCGCGCCATGGCATCTCAGCCCCACCAGCCCACCTCCCCAAGTTGGGGATTGGCCCCGCGAAGCCCGAAGAAAACAGTATATATCCCTACGCAGGGAACATGTCGGCCAGTGGAGCCAAAGCTAGGCCAGAGGAGATGGGTATCGGTCAAATGGTGTTCAACGAATACAAGGGGTCTTGACGGAAACAGGTCCTGCCATGTTTTTTCCGCTGCTTTCAGGGACCATTCCTGGGCCCAGTGGCAGTCAAAAAGTTGTCGAGGACGAAGGCTGTCTTCGGGAAGCCCCAGGATCCAGGACCCGTTTCTCTCAGGACCCCCTTCCCCATGCCAACAGGACGTGCGCAAGGGAGCGGCCGACCTGAAGAAGCCAGCGGGAGAGAAGCCCGCAGTGCGGCTGCCGGCGTCGGAGATGGACATGCCCAAGGTGGAGATTCAAAAGGTTGCATAAAGATAGGCGCTCAGAATTCCCCTCTTAATCTCTTGCGTTGGCGCTGGACCCCTTTCCCAGCACCCATGGGCGGCGCCTCTGGCGCAGCCCCCAGCGCGCTCCGCGCGCCAGGAAAGGGGCATGGGCAGGAGGGTCCGACTCCGACCTAAGAAGTCCGCGCGAACCTCCGACACTTTTGAGTTGATGCCGTGTCTTGTCTGGATCTCTAACAGGGAGCGGCTGACAAGGAGAAGCCAGCGGGAGAGAAGCCCGCAGTGCGCTTGCCGGCGTCCGTGCTGGCCGTGCCCAAGGTCGAGAACAAAAACAACAAGCAAACGCCCAGAATTTCGCACGCAGTGCCTTGGGTTGGCGCTGCACCCCCCTTTCCCCGCACCCAGGGGCGGGCGGCGCCCCCGGCGCGCCCCGCGCGCCAGGAAAAAGGGTGTCGGCAGTGGGGGCTCACAACGGACCGAAGAAGTCCGTGAGAACCGCCGACGGCCAAAAGTTGCGTCGTGTCCTTCCCGAGCCCCGACGTTTGTGATCTCTTCACGGAGCGCAGCCCCAGAGGTCACGACCCATTCCCCGGGACCAGCGTGTCATTCTAAGTCGTGTTCGGTTGTTCTGGAGCCAGGCGCAGACCCCCGGAGGCCGCAAAGTGCTTTTTTTATGTATCTTTTTGGTTACGCCCGTCGTGTTCTCGCTCACGACGCGAGGGGGTCTTGGTTGCTTGGGCCTCCATACTCCCACTTGCTCATATCTCGCTCACGTTGTGCCGTGGGGTGGGGAGTTGCGCACGACGCTACAGCCAAATCAAGCAATGCGAAAGTAGGCTTTCGCGGGCGAGCGATTACTACGACAGCCCATTGCCAAATCTCGATAGTGCACTGCGGCATTCAGTGGGTCAACAAAGACACCGTCGCCAAAATAAAGATCAAAGTTTCGCATAACGCATCAAGATTAAGCGGCATAAACATAAACGTTCAGAGGTCTGCGCGGATTTCTTAGATCGGCGATTGGACCCCCCTGGCGGCGCCTCCGACGGCCGCCCCTGGCGCACTCCGCGCGCTAAGGAAGGAGGCCCCGCGCGGATCCAAGAAATCCGTTTACGTGTATGCGGATTTTCTGGCTCTTCTAATCAAGTGCATTTTGAGGCGGCACCGACGCCAAATAGTAGCTTGCGGCAACGAATCCGCCAGCAGACCCGCCGTGCGGTTGCCCGCCTCCGCCACAGACCCATATATGCGATGTCTTGATTTTGTCCACGCGGGGTTCCTGGAAGTCCCGACCCTCCTTCCTCACTCCCTCCTCCTCCCAGGCTGCCTGTGGGCTCAGGGACCTCAGGGCGCAGCTGCCAGGCAACTGCGAGGCCCCCTACCCGCGTCGTCCCCACGCGGCAGCCGCCATCACGGCTGTCCGTGGTCGATGTTGCGAACCGGCTTGGCACAGACGTGCCCGCGCTAAGCGCTCGTTGGCGCGAGTGTTTGTGCGAGCTGCTGGAGCGCAACGGATCCTCGCAGCTCACCACGGTCGTGGCCCAGATATGGTGCATCCATCGTGGCAGCGATTTGCGGCATCATCGTCAGGGCAGGAGTCCATGTGCCAGTGCTCCACGTGCAGCACCATGGACTGGCAGTACCGTGGCACGTGCACAGCATGTTCTCCGACAAGAGGGAGGTCACAGGGACGCCAAGAGCAGGTTCCAAAGGCACCGTGGCAGGGTGCCCAGAAGCAAGTCGCCGAGGGGCGCGGGCAAGGACGACAAGGGCAACGGCAACGACAAGAACGACAGAAGAAAAGCGAACTCCAAGCAGAAAGAGTCAAAGCCGACCCTCCAGCTGAAGGAGACCAAAGAAGAGCCAGAGAACGAGGACGAAGAAGAAGATTGGCAGTAGAACGCTTCAGCCAAAGACCTCCTCCACATACGACCCGCCCACCCATCGGGAGCGGCAGCCCAACCCACGTGGGGTATTCCACCAGTGCCTACGGCTTCAGACACGGAGAAGGAGGCGTACCAGTAGAAGGCGGCGGCAAGGCTCGAGGCGTTGGACACCCTCATTCACGATCGCCATCAAGGGGGCCAGTCGAAAACCGATGTGGCCCTGGAGTACTCCAAGCTCACCGTGGTGTGCTCGTCGAAAGGTGTACCCAACCAGATCTCCAAGCAGGATCAAGCCATGGCGAGGGCAGAGGAGAAGCTTGCAACACTACGGAGGATCTCGACAAGACAGCGGTCATATTCGAGGCTCTCACCAAGGACGCAACGAGGTACCAGCAGGGCGTGACTCACACGAAGCCGGGGCGGGCGGAGATCCGAGTCATATTGGAAGCCGAGTCCCGACAACAACAGGGGCAGAAGGCCCAGCAGGCGCCAGATCCCTCTTGCTGCCAGAAAGAGGCGGAGACCAACTACGTACTGGGCCTGACCTTCATGGCACAGCAGCAGAAGCAACTCGCCATAGTCATGGAGCAGTTGTCCAGCCTCTCGGGCGCCATCCAGGCACTGCAGGAGCAAGAACCCCCACGCGGCAAAGGTGGCCACAGAGTAGAGAGCGCAGCCCCACATAGATTTACCAGCGCCAACTCCACTACCTCAGCTGGTGCGAGACGCAGATCCAGCAGCGGCAGCAGCGCTGGCGCTGGCGCGGCTTGCGTCGCTAGCGGCAAGCGCGCCCAAGCACAGGCTGCGACGCCCCCGCGGCGAGGAGCAGCTTACAACACAGAGAAGGACGACGGCGAGAACGACGAACCGAGGTCGAGCAAGGGATCGAGGTCACCGATGCGGAACGCCGACCAGGCACCGAGGGGTGGCCACGCTCCGAGGGGATAACCAGATCTGCGACCTTTGAGACGGCTGCCCTGGGCAGTAATTAAGCCAGTTGTTCGCGGCGCCGACCACCTCTCCTTGGCCGAGATTCCAGGGGGGGCAATCAGCCCGATGCGCGTTTGTCAAGGTTCCCCCGGGCTTTTTTTCAACTCGAAGCTTTCTTGTTTGAAGTTCTCGATTGGCACCTGGTTGATGCCACCACTGAGTGGCTTCGTTCAGCCATCCCATTCCCCCCACGCGCACCTCCCCCAGCGCGCGCCGCAGTCCACGCGGACGGAACGGCAGGCCACGCTGCGGCGGGCATCCCAGCGACGCCGGAAGCGCGGCAGTCGCGATACATCACTACGTCGATGAGCCATTCTTTATCGCGTGGCATCTCACGCCCACGATTCCAGAAGATCTGTTGGATGATGTTCCCCACCCAGCAATCTTTCGATTCATCTGAGCTGCTTGCTGCGGCGCAGGCGCGGGCCTACACTGCTCAGGACCCAAGTCAGTGCCAGTTGAGCTTGTTCCTGATTCAATTCGGACATTCTGTCAGATCGGGGTCGATGCACTTCGACCACGCCAGCCCTGTCCTGCTCTCCCCACGCCCACTCGCACACTGGCTACGCGACACTCGGAGGGCTCCGTCTCGGCACGTCAGTGCTCACGCAGGCGAAGGATTCAACGAGCTGGTCGACACGCTAGACCGATTCTCTGGAATGGGGTTACTACCGAGCCCACCGTTCACTCTGCGCGCGCGGTTTCTAATTCACGCCACCCCACTGGCGCGGGGTGCATGAAGATGGGCTCCAACATCAGGCCACCGATGCGCCCCGCCCGAGGATTCTTGAACTGTCGAGGGCTACGTCCGGGGAGCCCCCTGGATCCTCCGAGGCGGGTTCACGGCGGAGGTGGTTACTGGAAGTTTCTGACAGATCCCTGGGCCCAGCAAGGAGACGACTCCGTCGGTGGCCACGACGTTCTCACCCTCGGGAACAACACGGATAGGTGGGCCTGGCAGAGTAGGGGGGGACGCGTGCGATAATTTTGCACGTCAGTGGCCTCGGCAGGCCTGCGATGCAAGGGTGACAATTTCACGCCTCAGGCAATCACGCGGCCGCCACCATCGAGACCTGATTGCGCGCGCGAGTGCCAAGCAGAGTGGGCAACAATGCCGCGCGCTATGCGGCGCGCACCAGGGACTGCATGGAAGGCATTGCATTGCGGGTCAATGTCGAATTCCCTTTCCAAGGAACGAACTCACCCCTCGCGCAAGCACGGCGCCACTCCCCGTTCCGACCCCGCACGCATGCCCCCATCCACCCAGGTGCCACATGCTAGATCCTTCGTCTTGGCTGGCCACGGCCACGCGGGGCATCGGGGAGAAGGGTGCCATCGCGAACGGGCGGAGCCAAAATCTTCAGCTGGCGCAGCCTCGCACAGGCAAGGAGCTCACGGCCATCGCGCATGGACGCCATTGCCAACGTCGGCTCTACCACTTGCGAACGCGTCGGGGGAGCGCGCGCGGACCCCGAGGACTGACCTGGCGAGTATCTCCACAATTTCTGTTGCCATCTCGACTTGCGCGCCCCCGCGCGCCTTGCCCCGCCCCCTGGGGAAGCGGGGAAAAAAACGCGAACGGGCTTCAATGGGGAGGCGCCCGAACGCATCGGTTATGTCTCGGTGCCCAGGGACGTCTTGGGAGGGGCCATGGAGGCCAGAGTTGGCAGGGCGGCTGACATGGCAAATGCCACCAATGACCACATGCATGCGCTATGCTTCTGCAGCGCCTCCCCCCACCTCCCGCAGGGCCCCCCCATGCGCGAGTTGAGGGAGCCCTCCATCGACCTCAAGCGCCTTCAGGAACCTACTGCGCGCCGAGCCGTCGGGACATGTCAAGCACGGCGCCGAGTCCACCACGGCATGTTTCACCGGCGCTGCAGCGCGCCATGATGGGCTGGCACGCGGCCAATCGACTGAGCACCCCCAGCCAGCCAAGCACGACAGAGAAAAGTTGAATCAGCAAGGGGCCCTAGACCACCTAGACCTCCAACGGGCCCTCCGAGTTAGACTTCGATTTCTGGCCAGGCGGATTCCGCGGCCGACGAGGGCCGGGGCGCATACCGCGCGGGCCCAAAAGTTTTTTGAAAATCACGATGGGGCGCGGGGCCGAGTCAGGCTCACAGCCCACGCGACTTCCAAGTCCCAGGTCCCGGTATCTCAGGCTTGCGACGGGTAGTCGGGACATGGTCGAGATTATTGACACGCTCCGCAACGCGCTCTATAACGTTCTCGGGGTCCTGGTCGAGTGTATGTTCATGGAATTCGTTTCCGAGCCTGTAGTTGCCCCGTTGTTTGGCTTTGTCTTGGTGCCCAACGCTTTCGACGCCACGAAGTGCTGGGAGGGCCTCACGGGCCTTCAAACGCCACGCAAGTCATCACGCAAGGCATGGTGAGTTACACGGATTGGACGATTGGACGGTCTCGGCACCCAGCACAGGTCCAAGCACGCGTCACATATCTCACGTAGAAAGTCGTTGCAGTTCTGCGCCGAGTAGGATCACTTAAGAAGCGCAAGGCGGCACAGCCAGCTGCAGCACGTTTGAAAGATGGCTCCAGGGCCCAGGCTGCCACCGAGGCGAGACATCGGCGGCTCGAGCACTTCTCCAGGCAAGA